GAATGCTAATATCAATAGCAAAGGAAAGTCTACATGCACTTTGTATATGCCTCCCCCCCAATATTTTTGAAGTTTAATTTCTAAAAATTCAAATTGTCTCCCTCATTTTCCTGTTCTCCTAAATTACCTGGAAGATTGTTTTCACCTATCAGAACTCACACAATAACTGATTTTAATCTGCAGATGCCATACTCTAAGAAAGCTCCTCCCTCCCACCAAAAAGGTTGGGGTGGGGAAGAGAGTAGAAAGAAGACCACTCTCTGTTATTTGGTCCCCTCCTTTTCTTATTTTCACAAACACACAAGAGGAAACCTTTTCACAGAAATAGAAACCTTCCCTCACCCAATATTTTAAGAAACTCCAATGTGCTGCAAATCAGTTTTTTAAGTGTTTCTTTCCATTTTGAGGAATTCTATTTCTCAAATTTCTTTAAGGATATCTCTCTCTCTCTCTCTCTCTCTCTCTCTCTCTCTCTCTCTCTCTCTCTCTCTCTCTCTCTCTCTCTCTCTCTCTCCTTCCTCTGTTAATCTTTACCTCTATGATTTTCTTGCTCTCTGTGTAAAATTGCACAAGTTGAGAGGGAATTCAAAAAGATCTCCCCATCTTCTCTACTCCAGAGCTCTTCTTTCTCTCCTACAGAAGAGAGGTAGGTGGGAGCTGGTTAATTCAGACAGGCTAATGGAGGTAAAGCAAGGAATGTGTAACCTCAGCATCTCACCTTGACCAATTCTGACCCTTACCTTTGCTTGCCTCCTGACACCAAATCCTGAAAGGCTGGCTTAGCTGGTTGAGTTTGTTCATTCAGACACATTAACAGCTGGTTTTTAAAAGTTTTTTTTTCCCTTTAAATTAAAAAAATTCTTATAGTTTACCTGAGGGTGAGGAGAGTGGGGAAAAAATGAAGATTAAAGGGCAGAAGACTAAGTCAAATAAGTTTCTATCCTAGGCTCATAAATCTTTAACTCTGTCAAAATGTAATAATTCAAAAACAACAAAAAGTAGGATCATGCAATACTAGAGTTGCAGGAGATGTTAAAGATCTAAATCCAAACCTCTCATTTTTGCCGATAAAAACTAAGAACTGGAAGAGACTTAACATAAGGTCATATAACTGGCAGACCAGAACCCAGGTCCCCACCTCCCAATCCAAGACATTTTTTCATTCTATGTTGCCTCTCAAGAGCTAGAGGAAGAGTAGAAAATGGCCCACACTCAGTGGGGAAAATGAAAAGCAAAAAGAATGCCTATATTTGGAGCCTGATGAGAATATTAAAATTATCCATTTAACCATCTAGCCAGAACACGAATAAACCTTTGAAGATAACAAACCCTTGAAAAATGTTTGTTGAATTGAATTGAATAATAAACCACAGTGGAAGGAGTACCCAAAGTATTATACCAATTGTATTAGAAGCAGCAATGCCTCTATGTGATCTCGGAGGTGTGATCTCGGAGGTAGAATTAAGGGAAGAAGTCTCTTCTGGCTACAGAAATGGGGTTTGGCACAGAGGGAATACAGCCATTGAACTGGGAGATATTTCTCCTGTGGAGCCCTGCAAATGTAGTCTTTTAACAGCCTTGCCCCTTTCTCAAGGAATTGGAGGGGGGGGGGACTCAATGTGTTTGTTCACTTGCATTTGTATCCCATAAGGGAAAAAAATGCTTCCTCCCCCACAGCTGTGCGTTCTCTTTCTAGGGATCCTTTGCCCTGCAAAAAAGGACAACTGGGTCTTTGACTGGGAACTTGAAAGGAAGGAAGTAGCAGAAGAAATTTACATGGCTTACAAGCATATGATATCCTGTATATCTGTTTGTGGAAAATCTAGTATGTAACTATCTACCACTCTGCTACGTAATGAAGATGCCCATGCATGTATCAAATGGGTACATCGCATGTATGTACATCATAGCTGTAGGTCTAGTTCATAGAAGAATACATATGAATATGTAAGCATATAATGGGCACATAGCACACAAGGATATAGCAGATATGGCCTCTGAAAAGATATAGGTCTGGCACACATACATATGTACACATGTGGCTATCTGTGCATATTGCATCACTTTGTATAATAAATATTGCAACAAATAATTTTATCCTGGTTCTCTCTGGCATGTGCCTCAGTCTGGCTTTGCATATGCAAAGGAGGCCAGAGAATCCATATTCTGATAACCATAGAAGTAAAGTTTTCTCTTTACTCCTCAGTCTTTTTTTTTTTAGAACTTAGCAAGGGCAGCAGATTGAGAGACTAAAACCAAAGATGTGAAGATGTAACGACAGTAGTATAAGAGTTCAGATGGAAACCAACTCATTCCTGTCATTATGAAGCATTGTTCAAACCATCCAAACTACTTCTCAGGCCTTTCTCCCAGGGACATACGTATGACTACAATTTTTGTAGTTATTCTCCACTTCAGCATTTTGACCTTTACTTGTTGGATTAACTGTTAGTCTGGGGGGGGGGGCAGGTGGGGAAGAAGAAACCAAGTCTGGCTTTGATTTATTTAGACTGATACTCATCCTAGAATAATTTAGACTGAGTCCCATAAATTATGTTATTGTAGCTATTGCTACTTTTCCTTCCTGATTTTTATTTTTCAGTTTTATAAGAAGGTGAGGCACTTAACAAGCATCTGCTCCTCTAATCGAAAAGGCCCTTCTCCTCGATTTTAAAGAGAGTCAATGTGGCACGATGGGAAGAAAACTGAATTAGCAGATGTGGATTTAGGTTCTGCTTTGGCCACAAACTGCCCCCATCCCCTGGAGCAGTCCATTTCCCTTCCTTGGGCCTCAATTTCCTTCTAGGTTAAAATTAAAGGAGTAGTTAAGAGTAAATGATTCCAGCTCTAACAATCCATATTCTAAACTGAACACAGGAAATCTCGATATAAGGAAGAGATTCAGACAGGCCAGATGGGGTTTGTAGGACACCTGCTTTCCTTTAGGGAAGATAGGTTTCAGGCACCTCTCACAGTCAGGACTGAATTCAAAAGGCAGATAAACATTAATCTCAGAGAGGTGGATTGTTGCTCTGGCCTGAGGGTTACTGAGCTAGGGAACCATGAAAATGAAAGGCTAAGGAAAGTTATCCCTCAAATGTAATTTCAGTGTCCTGGGCCATTCAAACTCTCCTGCTTCTTCAAACCAGCAGTAACCCATCTTTGACTGGAAAAAAAATAAAAGAAATAATATCCACAGAGAGTTAAACTCAGATCATTAACTTGGTGAAATGCTATGGTACCGTCCAGTACCAAATACCTTTGGAAAATCTCTGATGAATTTCCCACTCCTTTGTTCTTAAAATGATCGGTCCAGTCCTTCAAACTGACTTTGGGCCAAAATGGTTCTTTGCTGTGTAATGAAGTAGAACTTGACCTTTAACACCTGCTCAGTATCTACCCAAGTCAGGATCTGCTTCCAAGGCAATGTTACGTGACAGTCCCTTCTAGGCCCAGTGCGATCCTGTTGTGTTGTGGTAGTAGTTGTTTGGGGGAGTATAGGGGGCAGCAAGTATACCGCTGGGTTTCTGAGAGCGGCCTAGCGAAACCTCTGTCTAGATGCTTAGAGGGCCTTATGATTTCCCCTCCCCAATCCCAGTAAAACCCATAGGTATCTCGGAATCTTTTGTTTCCTAGGGCACACCAGTTCCTGGAACGCATCCGTTCTTTGTCCTTGTCCCGTATTTTGTCCCAGGGCAGGGAAGATAAGACCTTGTGCCAAACTCAGAACCAGTCGGTAGCAGAAATTAAAAAAAAAAAAACCTCAAAAAAGAGTTCCCAGGCTTGCATCTTTTTCTCTGTGAAGAAAAAGAGGCTCGGAGAGGCATTTGGAGAGGCATGAGCAGGGCTGCTGTATGGAGAACCCGGGATGTGCCAAAAGTGGACTCACAGTCCGCAGAAACCCCACTCAACTACGACAATTACCCTTCCTTTCTGGAAGTAAGGAGAGAGGAAGAAGAAGAAAGGGAGGAAAGAAAGCGACCATTACAAGGACTTCATCCTTTCAATCTATTTCTTCTCGCTTCTCTCCGTTCCCTCTACCTTTGCAGCCCCAGGCCACTCGCCAGGACCATCGAGTCTATCGAGTTATAGTAAATTTCTTTGCTCGGTTTAATTTGTTAAAAAGCCACGCTCTTCCTTGAAGACCTCGAGAGATGAGAGATGTTTAGGGAGCATATCGAAGAGACCCTAACATTTCTGCAGGTGGCTACTCCCCCCTCCCAAATTTGTTCTTCCTCTACCTCTCCACATTCTTCCCTTTCTCACCCTCACTGCTCCCCATCCCATCCAAGGAACTCTACGGAGAGATCCAGACCTGGTCCCTAATGCCAATCGCTCCCGAGTTCGTATCGTTTCCCAACAATTCTGGGTTCCAGAAACCCCGCATGGGACGGCTCTGGGTTTGCTGAGGTTTTGCTGGGTTTGCCCTATCCAGGAGTCTCCAAGAGCGGTCGGAAGAGCTACGACTTCAAGACATCCTGCTAACAGTAATGGCCCTAAGCTGGCCTCTTTCCATTTGTCCCAACACCTTAAAACCGAGACTTCCTCCAAAGGCAAAAGCCCGCTAGAGCCCTAGATTGCAAGTGGTGGAGTTTTGTGTGTCGCCTCTTTATTTTAAAGTCGCCTCTTTGTTTCTATACGCCTGAGAAAGGCTGTCGAGGAGCCAGACATCTTGGCGGCTGATCCTGCCGGGGGTCTGAGAACAGGGGCGCCTCTTGTCCAGGCTCCAGATGGTTTAGGGTCTTGGCCCGAGTTTCCCGAGTTTCAAACTTTCTCTTCCCCACTTAGCAGCACAGAATCTAAGGGGCTGGGAAGGGAGGAAGCAAGCCCGGCTCCCAGAGAAGAAGTGCGTGCCCATGGGTGGTTGTGAGCAGTGTCAATTACGCGGGCCCCCCCCCTCAACTCAGCCCACCCGGAGATTGCCCCCTAAAGTCCTTCAATTTCTCTCCTCTCGGCGCACGCGCCTGCTGCTACGCACCCTCACCCCTGTCTATGCTTACCTGCCTTGGAGGGCTGCCCCTGCAGTCCCGACCCGGGCTGCGGCTCGGAGGCCCAGCGCAGGGCGGCAGCGGCTGCGGCCAGCTCCGCTGGACGGGGCGGCGGCGGCGGCGGCTGCTGCGGAGGCTGAGGCTGTTGTTGAGGCGGCGGCAGCGGCTGCTGCTGGGGGGCCGAGCCGCTGTCGCCGGGCGGTGGGGGCGGGGGACCGGGGAGGGCCCGAAGCGAGTCCGGGATGAGGCTCTCCAGGCTCTCGTTGGCCTGCTGCCGGCGGAGCGCCACCTGCGCGGCCATGACCCGCTGCCTCTCGATGATGAGGATGCACTTCTCGCAGGTGCAGTCCTTGAAGCGGCAGTAGCGCTTGTGGCCCTTGAGCCAGGAGAGCACGCCGTGGTTGCGGCAGCGGGCGCACTTGGGCGTGCGCTGCAGGGGCGCCCGCGGCGGCTGCGATACGGGGCCGCCCATGTACAGGTATGGGGAGCCGTAGCCGTTCATGCCCCTGGGCTCCCTGGGGAGCTGGCAGTCTGGAAGCTGCGGGGGCGGTGCAGGGGGCACTGGAGACAGGCAGTGACAGGGGGAGCCCTAAGCGGCAGCTCCGGGCGCTCCGGGGCCCTGCTGCGCCCCCCGCGGCCCGGGGTGGACGCTCGCCCCCTCGCTTCTTCCCTAGTCCACTTAGACTACAACGCCGCCGCTTCTGCTTCGCTCAGTCCACAAGCTGGGCCCGGCCCGAAGGGTCTCCGCGGTCTGCGGCCGCCGGGACTCCCGGTCCCCAGCTCTCCCCTAAGAGGAGCCGCGGCGGCTGCTCGGAGAAGGCGAGAGCTCTGGCTGACGTCTGGAGCTGGACTGCAGCGTTCCTGCGCGCTTCCTCGGGGCCGGGCGCCTCCCCTCCTCCCCTCCCCCCACCCTTCTCCCTCCCTCCCACCCCCACCTCCGGGGTCCCAGTCTCTTTCTTCTGCTCCCCACCCCCACCCCCACCTCTTCCCTCCTTCTCTCTTTGCTCCGATCCCTGTACTGCCACCTCCGTTGCCACCTACATACAGCCTGTCCTCACTCACGGGGGCGCTCCCAGCTCTCTCCCTCCTCCCGCCTGCTTTTCGCCAGGCTGCTGCTACAGCCTGAGGTGGCACTAACCCGAAAGTCACGGGGGTGCGTGTCAAGGCGGGGGGTGCGAGGAGGAGAGGGGAGAGAGAGTGAGGAAACGGTGGCCTTCCCTCCCGCGTCCCTCAGTCCCTCTGGGATCGATGTGATGGCGGAGATGTGCTTCTTCTGGGCACATAGCCCCAATGAGCTCTCCGCTCACGCTGGAGAGAAGGCAGGACCATTCCAAGTCTTCTCAGTTAAGGCCTTTCTACACGCAGGAGAAAAGTTTGCCCCGGAAGTTTGGGGATGGTAGGGTTGGAGGGGCCGGGAAGAGAGGGAAAGTGTTAGGAGGAGGAGGGTATTCTGGAAAGTTGATCTCAAAAAACCAATGGTCAGAAACCCTGCTAGGCAAAGGCAAAGAACCGATTAACGGGCCCATTACGGTTGCTACTTCAAAAGGGAGAACCCGATGCAGCAAACTCTATCCCCACCTCACTCCACAATTTTCAATAAAGCCATATCCCTAAAGACTCATGAACAGTTCCGGTGGCGACTTAAAAAAAAATTCTGGATTTAATTCTCAGAAAACTGGAGAAGCTGCATTAGAGACTAAGCATCCTGGAAAGCCCCCCGAATTTCATTACCCTCTCCTTCGGAGTAGCTATTAAAACAGCCAAAAGGAGATCTCATTTCATCTAATCCAAGCTCCAAGATCTCTGTTGTTTGGGACCCTTTGCCTCGTTCAGCTTTGAAAAAATATTCTCCCCTTCTCAGGCCCCACCCCCAGATTTTCTCTGGAACCCATCCCGGGATCTTGCACTGTCTAAAGCTGACTCGAGTCTTGGCCACCACAGAAAAACTGCCAAAACTGGCTTCAGAAAATGACTCCAAGCCCGGTGGCTTCCGATCCCCATCTACAAATGTCTTTGCGAGAGACGAGCACGCCCAAGTTTTGCAAACATTTTGTACTACTGTTGGGGCCAGCATTTCAACACAGTTCTTGGTCGTAGCTAACTTATGGGCAGGTCCTTTTCTGTTGGACAAGCGCATAAACATTTCTGAGGCTCCATTTGTGATTCTTCCCGCGGAAAGTGGCTATTTTTTTTTTCATTCTGGGGAAGGTTGCAATGCATTCGGTTACCCTGAAAATGAACACGCAACACATACACTTTCCAACCGTGACTGCACTAAACGCCGTACTGTAAGGTGCATTAGGTTAGTGAATACTCTGATTTCACCTTCTGGGAAAAGGCCAATTTCCAAACAAAGCAGGGAAATGTGTGAAAGGGTGTTTGTGTACATGCTTATGTGTATACACAAGCAGGTCCATATACGTAAGTGTATATGTGTGTATACAATGAGGCCACGATTCTGTTAAATTGTACGTTTATCAGCCTTAAAGATCATTGTCAAAAGCACAGGGAGGGGTTCTTCCCAAAGGGGAGAAAAGCATAGTGGATACCGAACTGTTTTTGTAGTTGATACCTCACATCCTTTCCTCTTACGAAACATTTTTTGTTTATATTCGTTTTCTTATCTCAAGGTTCTCTGGAATTAGAGCTCACATAATTCTTTTAGCATTTAGGGCGTGGGTGAGAAATGTCAATTCCTCAGAAAACTAAGCAAACTAGCTTCTGAGTTGAGATTCTGTCCAGCTGTCTGTGACCCCAAACACTGAAGAGACTTGCTCGAGAGAAGCCTTGATTTCGTCACTGCTCCTCTTAATTTGGCAGGTTTTGGTTCTGTACTGGAGTTCGAACTTCAGCCCTGGAGGGGCATTGATTCAGCTACCACCACCTCAACACCCCACCCCCCAGGAATTCATTTGCTTCGAATAGATGTGCAAGCAACTTCACTGAAAACGTTTCTACTAAATACACATGAAACACCTCTCAGCCCCAGCCTCTTCTCCCCTCCCCCAAATTGTCCCTTCTTGCCACCCCCCAAAAAAAACCCTTAGAGAAAAAGGGAAATAGAACAGCATTTGGAGCAGTAAGGTGCTAGTCAAATACCACCCACTATCCGCTAGAGCAATGCTAGTAGGTTCAGGGGAAATAACAGTCTACTCTGCTCTACAGGACCCGAAGAAGGGAAAAGCTGGCATAAACCCGCTCCACGTGACGAACGAATTAAAGAGGGAGAATGAAATAGGTCTTGGAACCTCCACACAGAAATGCCCTGGGTCCCTGTATGCGACTCTCTGGCCGGCTCTAATCAGGGACGGTTATGCGAAAAAAGGCATTCGCTCTGCATTTCTCCAATCAACATCAATTCCAATCAAGAATAAGCGATATTTTTTTTTTGTAATCTACGCCAGTACTAGAGATTTCAAGAGCCAGAGCAAACCCCTTTCTTTCCCCTATCACCTATCCACGTTTATCTCCTACCATTAAAATTCTCTGGTATTATTTGGTTCAGGGGCCCCTGTTTCACTCGAGTGCACATTGGGGGCTAAGATTTAAATACTCATTTGATATAGTGCAGTAATCCTTTTCTCATATTTGATGGGAATGTTTTCCATATCCCAGTATTTGACAACATCTCCCTATAGGGACAGGTTTGTATTTATGTTGGTAAAATGTCCCCTGCCTGAAAGTCTATTGTAACCCAACACCTGACAACCCCGAGTCCCATTTCTGTTTGCAGAAAAGGTTTATTCAAGCACATAATGGGATCCCAGCAGAAAGCCTTCCAGAACAAGGGGCTATGGTAAACTTCACCACATGAACTCCGTTTCCAGGGCTATTAAGCTTTTAATTGGAAAATAGCAGAGGAAATTTCAAGGTGACTATAACGTGTTAGCAGTTAGTACCCAGAAGAATAGCTGGAGCGGGAATGAATGTGGAAAGCATATGGTCCAAATAACATTTAAGGGGAGAGTGCTTGGTTCCACTAAGTCCAAGCAGCTTATACACTTATGGGAAAAATCATCAAAGAATCGGAATGGGAAGGGAAGAGGGGGGGAGAGATTAAAAAGGACGTAAATGTAACTTCATTAGACTGAATCCACTCACGTTCTCCTATGGTGTATGTGTTTAACCACGATTAACTGAGCGGAATTCCAGTGTGACAAGTATTAATGGCTAAAGGGTGGACGATAATGTGTGTGTGTATAAAGAAAATATGTGTGTTTGCATACATGGTAAGGTGCTTTCTAGCCTTATCTAGTTTCCCTAGGAGAGAACAGAGAGCTCTTGGGGGAGGGGGGAAACGACAACTCACAGACCTAATTTTATAACCACCCAGGCGAATATACGGAAGCGGAAAGTTTCTATTTTGGGGAATTCACATTGCTGCTAATATCCAGTCCTCCGACAGGAGGGGATTAGTTCACACCACACTATTGCCACTTTAACCCCGTACATGGTAACTAACGTTATTGTTACTAGAGCAGCAATCATTTGGGACGGTATCCAACCATGAACCCAAAGCATTCTTGGTTTGTAAAGGTTAGGAATCATTTCTCTCCCTCCGCCCTTCCTTCCCCCCTCTATTTTCCCCCTCCCCTCTCTACAGATATTTTCGACATTGCATATACTCCCATTTCTCCTGTCTCTCAAAAAAGATTCTTAGGCCAGTGTCAAAAGAAAAAAAAAAAAGATGTATGGTCACACCCGGGGGGCTAAGATTGGTCAGCCAGCCCGTTACTTTCAGTGGCAGTGTGTCCTTGTTTTCACATAATTACTTCAAGAAAGAAGCACATATCAACCCGAATGAACTCCCCGACAGCCTTTCTCACGAGCTAAGTTGAAATTAGTGACACCGAGCCCTCCTCGCAGGGCTGCGGGAGCTTACTCATAATGAATCAGAGCGGGCGCAGTTAACTGCTAGGGAAGCGCCGGGCTGCCCAGAAGGAATTACCAAAGGTCAGTGACTGACCACCGGTCATAAATATTTGAGGAAAGGGTTTGCGCTCCGCAAGCCGCCTCAGTCCCCAACTACAGCAACGTATGCCCTTTGGGGAAACAACGGGGCCTGGCATTTCGCAAATGGGCGTCCCTTGGGAAATTTAGAATCATCTCCCTCTGGTATTTCATTTTACTCGCCCCACCCCTCCCACCTGCTAGGGAGGGTGGAATCACAAGGTAGAAGGTCCAGAAGAGCACAAGGTTCATCTTTGGTTGGTGGCCCCTACAAATTCAATTCAGAGACCCACATATTTTAGTGGGGAGAGGTGGGTCTGAGGGGTGTCCAAGTGAGAGGCACAGGTAAACTTCCCGAAGAGATAGCTAGTTCTAGAGGGGCGAAATCTTATCTTTTGGTGTTTATCTGTCCTTGCCTTTAAGGTCCATGGAAATGACCGTCACCAGTGAAGTTGTCGGCTCTCCAACTCTTGATTGTCTAGCGAATTAGCTGCATCTAATAATCCTCCTTCCAGAGAAAAGGGAATGGGAATGAATATAGAGTTGGGGGGAGGAAATAGTCAATCTCTGAATGATAGCTGGTATCTATGGGTGTCCCTATCAAACCTAACATGCTCGTTTTCTCTTCTCTTTGCATTTGTCAC